ATATATATATATATATATATATATATATATATATATATATATATATATATATATATATATATATATATATATATATATATATATATATATATATATATATGTATATATATTGTTGTTGTTTTATTGTTTTGTTTACATCTTCATCGCCTCGCCGTAAGGATCAGTTTGCCGTTTCATATTTTTCTACAAGTTTAATTGAACTGATCTAGGTCTACAACTGGGAGATCCGGCACCACAGTACTCATTGGTTTGTTGCTGTGTACTTGCTGATATTTTATACAGTTTGGAAGCACACCTAGACTACGAGTAGTCTCCTTTTTTTCCTCAGGGATAGTAGAGCTAGCGAAACGCGAGCGCGCGTGAAAATCACCCCACCCGAGAAAGGGCGACACGTGCCTCTCCCCGCGGCGTGTCGCCTTTTCTCGCGTGGGGTGATTTTCCCGCGCGCTCGCGTTTCGCTCGCTCTACTATCCCTGAGGAAAAATAAGGGACTACTCGTAGTCTATGGCACACCCTATAATGGCCTATATGGGGAGGCCACGCGCGAAAGGGGGACCTTTCTCGGGATTCAGTTGTTTCAAAGTGCTGGGAATTCACAAGATGAAGTATATGAAAGAGCAAGTAAATCTATCCTTTAAGTATTTAAAAGGTCCGTAAATGAAAATGTTTCGAGAAGCGCCCCTTAAGGCGTTATCATCTAACCATAATTAGTAGACCGGACTCTGGACCAACGTTAAAAAAAATAACCACCAGATCCTAATAGAGGATCCAATCAGTCATAATATCTATGTACAACGGAAAGAGGTAAGGCTGATTTTACAATAGGCAACATACTTTTTTTGCGAGTATTTCAGAGACCCCGAAGAAGAAAGTCAAGAAAGGCCGTGAATTTGGAAATATTGGCAAAAATATATATGTTATGAACTGTAAAATCAGCGCTGCTTCCATTTCCGTTGCTCCTGTTTTAATGACGGATTTATTTATGTACAGTGGAACCTGGATATAACGAAGGGTCAAGGGACTAGAAAATATGCGTTGCAATAACAACTTTTCGTTATACAGTCGAAGAACCCCACTTAACGGACACTCTCTCAAACAAAAGGGAGTGAAAGACCGCCTGATCACAGGTCACGTTATTACCGACAGTTTTCTTTGCCCCTGGGGAAAGAAAGCCCATATATTTTCTCTAAATTCGACCCGCTTAAAACGGACATTCCTTCACGCGGATAACGGACACTTTTTTCTTGCCCAGTCAACAGGTTCTCTCAAAACGACAACTCCGCTAATACGGACACTTTAATGTCAACTCTGTGTTGTAATAAACCTTTCCTTTTTTAAGATACAAAAACCGTCAGTTGACAGCATGTTGCTGTTCTCAGTGCTACAGAGTCACCTGGGAGATAGGATGAATTGTAGATATTGTAGACTTCGAATTCAGACTATGTTGTCAAAAGAAAACGTTTTGATTAAGTCATGTATAAATGAGCGACCAGGAGCGACTTCTTATTTGTTTCCATGGACAAATTCCTCGGAATGACGGCTTTGTGAAGGTTAAAGATGTTTACATTTGACGATGCGAATGTCCTGCCTGTTCCACGTAAGATTGTTAAAGGGGTACCATTTGTCAATAGAAGGTATAAGAAAGAGGTACCTTTTCTTTCAATATCGTATATAAAAGGGTAAGGGGTTGATAAACCACGGGGCGGAGCCTCCTTGTATAAAAATGTAGTAGCCCCGCGGTAGTAGCCTTCTCCCGGGAATCTGACGAGATTGGCTGATTAATCATCAGTCATGTGACTTAACCTGGAACATACTCTCTTGAGAGGGACAGAGTGAAAAGACAAAATGGTTTGCGTAATTTCCCGTGGACGTCATTGCTCGCGTCTCTATCAGAAGGTAACTTCGTTCGGGACTCTACCGGACTCTGTTAAGAGTGTGCTTTTTCAAAAATTGGAATTTTGATAGCTCCTTTTGAAAACACGAAACAATTGAAAAGGGCTTGGTCGGATCACATCCGTTAGGGTCAAAAAGCCCGCGGTTAAATGGGACATGGCAACAAAAATAAAAAGCAAACAGTGTCTTCGGGTGCACGTACGCAGTTTTTTCGACCGCATCGTTTAAAATGGATCACGAAAGCGGAGAGGTTTATTTGATACGGTCCAAAATAACATTTACTGCCATAGTTTATATGATTAATAGTGGATGGCTGGCTGACTTAAATTTCAAAGGCATCTAGAGAGAGTTTATGGTAAATTCCAGTTGTATATACACCCTTCGTATTATTGGTACTCGACGGTTATTAAAACGAATGTTTACAATAGGGCGTGATGTTGGCCGGTTTTAACCTTTCGGCATCCACAGTTGATTTGAGGTGTCCTGGATTATAGGCGTTAATTCCATAATCCTCGTTTTATTTTCTCATCAAAACTCAATAGCCAAATTCATACAGCAAAACGACAACACTTACAACAGCAATAAGAGGAAAAGCAACAGTCACACGATTACATGCTTACAATTGTTTAGAAAATTTTAATAATAACCATTGAAACGTGTAATTTGTTACCTAGTTCCGTATTAAAATGAACCATTGTCTGCCTATTTTCCCACGGAAAATGAGCTGTCTGTTTTCAGGCGTCAATGTTGATTGTTTGATACAGTTGTTTTTGTTTTATTGATTAATTGGTTGGAAAACGACTTGTACGCTAAACAATGGATTGCCAACGATAACAGTGTTGTTGTTGTTATTGAACAATGAACGTTTCCAGCTACGTAACAATGTTCTTAAAAGAATTCTAATTTGCTCTTTGGTCAGTGTCGATTTGCAAAGTGAAAAGCTGATCAATTTTGGCAAATAAACACAAGACGTGAGAAAGAACTTCTTAACGACAATAAATAACATTCGGATGATTAATTATAATTATCTACTTTGAATTTAATACTTGTCCTTTTTGAGCCACATTCATCTTTCTTCTTGTCGTCAATAAAGTGTGTGGACAAGTCCAATGCTGTCGGCTTTCTTTATCGGGCAGCATTCGGTTTCACTTTCACAGCAAAGGTCGCGCTCCCAAGATTTTGTACCACCATGAAAGCATGCACCAAAAATGCGAACAGGCGATGAAAGCCGCCTTAACACACTTCATCTTCCAGCATCGTACAACGTCTTCAGACATCATAACTCTAATTGAACCACCGATTTTTTGTGTCCGTCTTGTGTGCGCCCATTTAGTGGCTGAAGTGGGCAATGCACTTCTCTCTCAGTTCCTCATTTCTATCACTTACGTGTGACAATAAACATTAGAAGAAAAATAAATAAGTTAGAGTGCCCAAGAGCCTGTTGCTGGGACAGAACAGGGATGATTCACGGCCCTTAAGACATGCTGATCGCGAGACAATTGCTTCATAGCCCTTGAGTGTGTCTTAGACAGTGAATGAGCTGTCCATTGGTGCCTCGTCAAGGCATCGGACCGGCTGTACTTCTGACCGCATCCCAGCACCACGCAAGTAAACACTTTTTTCTCGGCAGTTTGTAGATGAGTCTTTTGATGTTTGCTCAAGTGATCTTTTCTACCAAAGGCCTTGTTGCAAATTTCGCACTTGTGAGGTCGAACACCGGTGTGAATGCGTTTATGTCGCGTTAGTTCCTCGTTGCGAGCGAATCGTCTTTCACAGCCATCAAAACTGCATTGAAACGGCTTCTCCCCAGTGTGAATTCGCAAATGGCCTTGCAGTTGTCCGTTGTTGCTGCATCGAATATCGCACAGGGGACATGGATATTTCTTCTTTCTTGTTTTGCTGTTCAAATTCGGGACGCCACATACGGATAATTTTTCGGCCGATTCCTCTCTCACTTGCAAAACCGGCGCAGATTTCATATTCTTTGATGACTGATCAGAAGACGGTGATTTAGTCCAAATAGAAGGAATAATCGTCTGAGCTTCGGCGCAGAAACTCATCGAAGAGACTTGGACGTTAATAGGGGGAGGAGGCGTTGTGTTAAAAGAAGTCGTAAAGCCAAGCGGACCAACAGACTGCTTCCAAAATCCTGCCGAAGTGCCTAACTCCGGTGGGTGAAAGACTTGTGGAAGAGAAGGTAACGAGGGTGCGTGAAACAGAATTGTTGGCTTAAACACCCGGAAAAGTCCGAGATTATTTTGTGCTGCTTGCATGGCTTGAACTGTGCGCTTCAACAAAACACATGAAATGTGCCCAGGATGACAAGATGGGATTGACATTGGAGTTAGGTGGGGTGACAAACGACCAATCACCGCGCTCGTTCTTAGCCAAATTGTAAATGAAGATGATAAATTAAAGCTGGGCGTGATAGGGGGCATGAGTTAATTTCAAGGGCCACCTCGTAGAATCCTTCTGAAAGCAGAGGCTAATCACAATAACAGAATCACCGTTCACCCTGCACTAAAAACCGTTGATTCAAGGATGAAAAAAGCTTAGTTTAATCCAGGTTTATCGAAGGTTTGACTGTTTTTCTCTATCAAGTTCCCAGCTCTGCTTTGTATAAATATTTATCGCCACCTATCAAATATATCACTAAAGAAAACAATAAAAGTGCGAAACTTCACACAACTATGAATGATAAACAAAAGGTGAGTTGTCCCGGACAGATATCGTAGCTTACGTAGATCGGTTCCCTCTAAACTACCTGGTTAGCTTTTGACAATTTTAAGCCATATTTATGGATGATAAAGTTTTAAGACAAGGAACGAAGTTAATACAATTTGGCGGATTAAATAAGCAGACGACGAACCTAAGTGAGTGCGACTGTTGATTTTTTTTTTTTTTAGCTTTTACGGATCCCACGTCTGTTCTTTATCAAATAATACTTAGCATATTTACGCAAATTGCACTTTATGCGTGTCTATGAAAAAGAATTACGATCACGCCCGCGAAGCCGTTTTGAGATCGCGCTAAGACCGGAAATTACTGATACCGGCATAGACAATACCAGATTTGAAAAAAAAATAGCCGAGTGGAAAACTTCCCTTTTGAAAACACGTAATAGCATAGCCCCTGTCAAGTAAAAATAGCGCAAATGCCATGACGATCCAATATGAAAACCATCTGTATTCAAACCCTGTAGAGGTGACTGCCTATGGTTTGGTTTGAGTGACATATACATTCTGGATATAGGGCCTTATTGGAAACGGGGAGTCAGGTTGACCAAATTGGTCGAATTCAGCACAGGTAAAATGGAACATTGCCAATATAGAGATGAAATGAGTCGGTTAGACCCATCAGTAGCGATCAGAAAGGTCAAGTATATTGTAAGCCCCGTTCAGTGCTTATGCCCGGCCCACGGACCGGCAAGACATGCAATATTATGCGCGTGCCCACACACGAGCGGGACACCAATCATCATTAATATGGGTACGGTTTTCGTTTGCCTCTAGTCTTTCTAAGAAAGAGTAACACTTGAATGCAGTACAAGCTCAAAGAGAGTAAAGTGATTCACATCTAAAGAGAAAAGAAAGTGGAAACTAATACGAACGCTGATCATTTTTTAGCTCGGTGTTTAACCCTCTCTTTTCTGTGACAAGAAAAATTTATTCGTGTAAATAGAAAAAGGGGAGAAAAAATAACACAGGAGAAAAAACTTGTCAATTCTTTGAATTTATAGTGAGTTTTACTTTGAAAACGGCCCGGGCTTGGCTCCTGGTGACAATGCATCACATGTAATTCTTGAATAGCCTTGAAAAGCTTGTCAACTGTCATTACTGTTAAACATCTTTTTCATCTTGATCCCCTTAATTTAACTCAGTCTGCATTCCTCAAGATGTTTAACCAATTTTATACTGAACACCCCTAAGTAGGCGTGAAACACTTTCCTCCCACATTTCTTGGTTAAGAAAACACCAAATACATTTTCTCAAAGAGGAAATTGGTGTTTTATCACCGAAGACACCTTCGGAAACTCACTACAGGAAATTCGTGCAAAGATAGTATTTTCGGCGGTTGCGTCATAGGCATCCACGCTCGTAAGAATTGGCTGTCAGTCAACACTTAGTCGAATTGTTCAGTGCTCCTGTTATGCATATCTTTATTTCAGTGAAATTTTTGACAGTATTGATAATATGGTAGTTTAATCTGTTGAAGTTAGTGGAGGCTGTCAATTCTTATCTGTTTAAAGCTCAGCTATTCGCAAAACTCAATTTAAAAAAATGACTCGGCTTTTGGATTTAACCGCCTTTCTTATTTTTGCCCCTTAGATTTCCTAATTCTATGCGTTTGATCACAAGCTTAGTACAGCCCGATGATTCGACTCCCCGGTGACTAGAACTACACTTTCTCCGATGGTCTGACGATAATCTTGCAGAGGTGTCTTTGGTACCCGGGGGGGGGGTACTTCCCAGTAATAGGGTAACGGTGATGTGCCGCTGGATGGGATCGCAAGCAAGAAATATACTTTATTTGCTTTCGCCCAAATTTTGGCGGCTTTGCACAAGAAAACTTGCTAAATACGCTGGTTTTATTTCATTCTCTTTTTTCCTCTGTCGTGAAGAACTCGACGCAACGATGGTCCTGACTCTATTTCTTTAGATCGGGCCAAACCACTTTCCACTCTATCCCTGATAGCCTGTTCCAGGCGTTCCTATCGATGGTGGGGAACGGGCGAGAAATATAGGGCCCCAGTCTCCCCTCGTTTTTTCCCCCTCATGTTTCTTTTTGCGTTCGCCGCGTGCGATTTAACTCGCTCCCCACAATCTGAACGCCTGGAACAGGCTATATACCTGATTGGTCAGTTCAGCTCCACACCAGTTTCCCAGGGTCTTAGAGACTTTTGTTCTTGGGCCATTGTAGTTTAATAAAAAATAAAGCACAAACAGCGGTGATAAACATTGTGAGTTTTCGCATTTTTATAAACGTGACGTTTTATATGCTATTCAACATAACGAATTTTCAAAAGTGATCTTAAAGTAAGTGACTGTCATTTTCTTTAACAGCCAGTTAAGATCACTTTTGAAAACTATGTTGAATAGCATACGACTGAACGTCAAGTTTATAAAAATGCGAAAACCCACAATGTTAATCACGCTTTTGTGTTTTACTTTTCCCAGGATTTCTTTCAATTCTTTCCCCGTGGGAACGAGGTTGTAGTGTAGGTGTGAACAAGAAAGGACTTTTCCAAGAGCTCTTCCTTTACCAGTCGCCTGTTCGGCGCTCTTCTGTCGGTTTGAAAAAAATTCGAACGATCTGTGTTAATCTGTGTTAGTTCTGACCCCCTTCTACCCCCCCCCCCCCCCCCCCCCGGCCCCTTGTAAACCCTCTAAGGTCGCTTTCCCCTCAGCCCCGTTTCCCCCACCCCCCCTTAACCCCCCCACCCTTTTTAAAAATTTTGTGTTTTCTTTTGAGGGGGGGCCCTGCTTTCCCCTCTTCCGGGCGCCCCTTATTTTTTTTTTTATTTTTCCAGGGTTTCTTTCCAATTTTTCCCCGGGGGGAAGGGGGTTTGGGTGAGGGGTGAAACAAAAAAGGATTTTCCCAAGGCCTCTTCTTTTACCGGCCCCCGTTTGGGGCCCTTTTGTCGGGTTTGAAAAAAATTCAACCCCCCGTTTTAATCTTGTGTTGTTTTTACCCCCCTCCTCCCCCCCCCCCCCCCATCCCCCCGGGCTCATTGTAAACCTTCTAAGGTCGTCTTCACATCAGCCCGGTTTCCCAGATCTCGCCTTAACCTCTACATCCTTTGTAAAATATTCGGTGTTCATATGAGAGGGCGGACTGGCTTTCCCTGCTAGCAGAGGCCTCTTTTCCCTGGTACTGTCGGCGGGCGGCTCCGGACCTCATCGTCTTTGCATTGCCTGCTGTATTTTCCACATCATAAGCATACCATTTTTAAATGGGATGCTTAAAATTGCAGTGATACAGCCAAAAGAGTTGCCAAAGCTATGATGGTCGCGAAAGTTATGATTTTTGTGTTTCGCCATGTTTGCTTTCTTTCTCGGTCTTTTCTCATTTTGGAAACAGGGCTGAAATTTCTCATGTGAACCCACGGCGAAATTGGTCTCGGTAATCGGGCCAGCCTGGTTAGCCGGGCTCATGTGGGAAAGCGCTGATTGGAATGTGTTTAGTATGTGGGTACGTGACCCTGATTAATCCTCATGACGAAAGGCTTATAAGTCTTGAAAACAGTGGCCGGAAGTGGAGGAAGTTGAAAAGTCTATCGCATCATGCAACGGCGAAGGCTTTACATTCAACTTTATTGGTCACGAAAACTCCCAGTGAAAAATCCCCTTGTCTGAATAAAGAGCTTTCTCTACAGACAACTCTTGCTGTCTCTTCTTTGCTCCAGGAAAACTCTTCTAAGTGTTCCTAAAGCTAGTGAAAAGAAATATAAAACATTCCTGTTTCACGGAAGAGCGGAAAGAGTTCGTATATATCCTATTTCCCAGTTTCCTGATGGAAATATCGTGAGCGGTTAAGGGGATTGGATCATGTCAGAGCTAAAAATTCCATAACAAAAAATGCTCTAAGCCTTTAGTTCCTCTCTATCTTTTGATATGGCGTAACTAACGAACTTTGATGTTATCTACCCGGAATAGTTACTATACAGAGAACTGAAAAATTCAGCCACTACTGTTCATGAGTACATGCTAGCACATATTTATGGATGGGCGCAAATAGGTCCAATGGGCTTGTGGTCCCAAGTCATCTCTTTTGATAGGCAGCAGGCAGTAGACCGTTCACACTCCCGTATTTCGAGGTCGGGATTCGGGATTTCCGAGGAAAAGGAAAGCAAGATTCGGGATCTGACATATAAACGGGACACGGGATGTGACGATTTTTAAGAAGCGGCATCCAAAGATTATTGTATACAAGAACCAAGATCCTGTTAGTGCCCCTTTTTCTAAAATATCGACTCGCTACCAAGAGGCTAATTATGCACTGATAGAGCCCTTTTTTATCCCACTGATAAACTGGCTTTTTCAGCACTCTGCTGAACGTAACTCAGTCCCCCTCTGATGAAGGTTATTTGTGTGCTACTGATAAAGAAGGCTTCTCCACTGGTAAACGATGCTGTTTAGTGGCGTTTACTGATGGGGTTGGCGAGAAGGAGAGGAACTCCACCAAAATCAGCCAGTTAAACTTACAAGGTTTATTTTTCTCACTCGCAAGACGGTTCTACATTCTTCCTGATGTTCTTCTCTTTCTGTATCTATCTATAACTGCCTAGTCTTTTTCCCTAAAAGCTTACTTCTCAAAAGCTCTCCATTTATTTGTTTGA